ACACACACACAAAAAGAAAAAGAAACGAAGAACAAGAAGAAGGAGAACATTGCATTTGATACTGCAACTTGGTTCAATTAGTTTTCTGTTTAATTGGCTCAGCAGCAGACTTTAGGAACATTCTCATTTAAATATTTGGCAACTCTTTGCACAAAATCAGTTTTGAGTGTTGTTTTCTACTCATTTAGAGCTAGAAGCTTACATGAAAGTATGAATGTTTGCCCATTCTAATTTCAGGTGGGATTTGAAATGTGGTTAACCTGAAATTCAATCTTCTGTTTCTTTTTCAATTTTCCTAGGTGTCAAGGTGTCCAGGTTGCTTCAAGCATGGTTTCTTCCATTGCATTTTATCTTTTTGATATCATCTTTTGCAATGAAGACATCAAGCCTCTCTTAGTCCATCATCTAATATTTACTGTTGCTTCAGTGCAGAGTTGCTTTTAGAGGAAACAATAGAATACAATGATCTTGTAGACTTAGCAGTACAAGATGAAACATCCTTATCTGGCAACAGGCAGATTGAGACGCTCCCTAGTGGAAATAATGTTGCTGATCAAAAGAATGGTATCACCTTCCCTAGTTGTATTCATTTATTATTTTTTTTTCACTCATTGTTGCCGCATCATTTATTTAGTTGTTGATGAATGTGTAGTGGTTTGAGATGTTAAATTTTTAAATTTCAAGACATTGTTATAATATTTCATCTGCCTTTATGCCATATATGTCCAATGAAGAAGCAGTAAACTTGCAATAGGCATGTAATATAGATGTGGGGTAAAAATAAAAGCATTTGAGGGAGTCTAGTATAGGATTGGCTGATAAATAAGAGTGCTATGTAGTTACTGTCATCACTAGCAGCTTAACATGGTTTCATGTTTGATGGCAATGCTGTAGCCTGTAGCAATCTTCCTTGCTGATGGTAAATAAATAGTTACTAATGCTTTAACACATGCTTCAAAAGGCTCTTGGTTGGTAAAGAATTAAAAAATGACCCACTAATTTCTCCCTTATCACATATCTATGGAGCTTATGATATTGTATGCTGGCATTTCATTTCTAAAATTACCTGTTTTCATATTCATCAGCAGAAAACACTCCAGAGGATTGTGGAGATCCTAATGATCCTCGAGTAAGATTGAAACGAGATTGTGTGGGAATTATGGCTGCCTTTCGACTCAAGGACCCTTTTGATCACATTGTTATTGTGGCAAACACGCATATTTATTGGTAAACAGATCAGTTTTCTTTTCTTTTTCTTTTTTTTTTTGTCTGATGTTATATTGTTTAGCTTACATGCCAAAAATAATTGTCTGTTATCATGTCTTTATTGCATCTAGGATGCATATTAGTGTTATGACATGTATCCCCTATTCTTTTTCAGGGATCCAGAATGGATTGATGTTAAGCTTGCTCAAGCCAAATATCTTTTGTCTCGCCTAGCTCAATTCAAAAGTTTGGTAACAGATAGATTTGATTACACACCATCAGTAATTTTGGCTGGTGACTTCAATTCAACTCCGGGGGATAAGGTTTGCTACTTCTACTGAGCTTCCTTTTTTTACACCTTTGTATGCTATAAGGGATAACCTAAGAACTAATAATGCTACATAGTTCTTTAAATTTTATTATATTTGTTAGGAACCTGTAGCTGCTTTAGTGTTGGTTGATTCTATTTTATGATTTTAGGTAGGGAAATCCTGATTTCTCAACAACTCTTGATGCTTTTGAAATTGGGATCCCTTGTCTTGAATTTTGCCAATTTTCTTTCCTCCATTTATCTATTTAACATTTTTAGGGAACTCTTAAAGTGTGAATTCTGGAGAAAAATCTATATATGAGGACAAACTACAAATGAAATGAGGCTGGACCATTTACAAGATAATTCTATCTTGATTTTTGGTTTTATATTTATTACAGCCAGGATTTCATTTGGCAAGAACATGTTAAATAGGATGAACCACTCAGAACTTTTTTTTGGGTCTTAGTGTTTATTCAAATAAATACTTGCAATGATATTGAAAATTCTCTATCTTCTCAGGTTTACCAGTACCTTATATCTGGTAACTCTTCAGTGCCTCTGGTGGAGTGTATGGAAGAACTTCCTATTCCCTTAAGCAGTGTCTATGCTTTCACAAGAGGAGAGCCGACTTTTACAAACTGCACACCTGACTTCACAAATACTTTAGACTATATCTTCTTTTCACCCTCAGACTTCATGAAACCAGTTTCTATCCTTGAACTCCCAGAGTTGGACGCACCTGATGTTGTTGGTGGATTACCAAACTACAGCCACCCAAGTGATCATCTACCAATAGGTGCTGAATTTGAAATAACAAGGTGATAAAGTCACAAAGGGGGCAAAAGCTAGGAAGGCCGAGAAATTGTATGGAAACTTTCTTGGCTGGTTGACAGGTGGGATTTTGATGCTTAACTTTGCTTTATAATCTTTTAATTTTTTCTCAACTGAAACAATTTAATTTTTAAAAATGTAATAAACTGACATTTAGTTGAAATATTTGGAACTGATTAGCCAGTTTATATGAAGTAAATTTGGGGTAAATTGAGCTCTGTGAAACCAGTGAATTACCTAGTTTGATGAAGTGTATCTGGTGCATTAATCATTAACATGTTTAAGAAGAAAGAATATACTTGAACAGTTAACCTGCCAGCCTGAATGAATTTGTGGCTAGGAATGTACTATTATGGAGGAAGCTTCATCTTAAAATTTAAAGTAAGCTTTTTGTCAATAGATTCGGGACTTATGAAGGTGCAGGATTTTCTAGAGATTTGGTAAGTTACTTAAAAAGGTCGTTATGTGATCATTCAGGTTGGAAGGCCTCTCTCTAACTTTTCTCAAATGGTGCTGTCATTTTCAGACGGTGTCATACTAGTTTGGTCACGATATAGCATCGTACTTGTACGTAGATAACTAGAGAGGTCTCTGGATAATGTGAAAATATTTGTTTACTCCTTTATTTTCAATTATTATTAAAATAAACTCATATATATATATATATATATATATGTTTTGATAGTAAAGAATTTCGAGGAAGGAGCATTTGGGTATAATACTCAGGTTTTAGGTGTTTTAATATTTATTTCATTGGATGACTAATAAATCATTACGTTTTGGACAATTCATATGTTTTTAAATAAATCGCTTGTGTTTTAAGAAAAAAATAAAATAAAAGAGAGAATTATTTCATGAAAAAGTATAAGAATTTATTTTAATTATTATTAAAAATAGAAGGTTTAATTATTTTAAAAAATAAAATCCTAATTTAGATAACTACAGCTGGAATGTGAGGTCATGTTGAAGGGCTGTGATTGTTCTAACTGATTTTTGTTTTTAAGA